TCACTTTTTGATTCGGATTTCCCAAGGTTTGGGCAGTGGCTATGAGGTTCAAAATGAATGGAGTAAGTTGTGAATTGTTTGAGAAATATTGATTCTTTGATTTTGTTTCAACATGAATTTTAATTCTTGTACTTTTGGGCATGTTTGAGGCTTAAATTTCAATATTGGAAAAGCTTTGGAATTTGGAAGTGAGAGGAGAAGAGCATTGGAGTTATTGGAAGCAAATTGATTTAGTGGGTAAGTTAATTTTGAATATTAAGGTTGAGTTTTGTTGGGATTGTTGATTAAAATGTTGTTTTGGAAATGATTATTGTTTTGGGTTTGCAATTAGAATTGTTTGGGAGTGAATTTGGGAAGTTATTTATTAAGTAAATATGTTAAATAAGCATTATTGGGGCTGCCGGAATCTGGAATTTCCGGATTCCGGTGATTAATCCGGTGACCGGGAAGAAGAAGAAGAAGAAGAAGAGGAGAGAAAAAAAACAGAAGAGGGTCGTTTGGGCCTGCCTGGCGTGGCCCAAACGCTAGGCTAGGCGCCGGGCCAGCGCGGCCCAAGCGCCTAGGCCAGGCTCACGGGCCAGCACGACCCAAGCGCACGGACCAGCGCATGGCCCAGCGCCTAGGCCAAGCTTGGGTCCAAGCCCAAGCAGAAAAAAAAAATGGACCTAGCCTAAGTCCAATGTGAAATAAAAGAAAGAAATGAAAAAAAAATAAAAAGAAAAGGAATAAGGAAAATAATAAGAAATTTTAGAATAAAGAATTGGATCCAATAAATTGATAAGTGAAGTTACAATTTTACCCTTGGGCGGGTAAAATTACTAAATTACCCTTGAGATTTTAAATTACAAAACTACCCTTTGAAAATGAATTTAACGATTTCGACAATATGAGTTGCATTACCGTATTACTTCGTAATGTTCATACGAGCACAAATTCCCGTTTTACCCTTGAGTGCGTAAATTACCGTACTACCCCTAGTTAGTAAAAGTGTACTAATCTGTTACATTCAGGTGCGATTTCGAATCCGACTGACTAGGGGTCAATAACTATAACAAGTAAGGAATGTCACCATACTCTAACAAAGTAAAATTACCAAAATACCCTTAATAGGCAAATTTACCATCTTGCCCCTAAGAGAGCGATACATGTAAACTTTAAGATCGCACATTCAGGATTGGAAAGCTACCGTAGTGACCATTTCGGGTAAAATAACCATGTTACCCTTGACCAATGAAATTACGGTTATGCCCATTAGTCATCAAATTTACGAAATTACCCTTAAGGGTGGAATTGTGAGAATTCGACTATATTGCTCACATCAATGAATTCTTATGTGCGTTGTGAATTGTGAAACCAATAATATTGAAATGACCATTTTACCCTCGGAGGTGAATAATTACAACTTTGCCCTTAGAAAAGGATTTGACTTATCTGAACATGATAATTGAATATATAAGGTTAAAGGACTACTGTATCGGCCTTAAGATGTTAAAATTACGTATTTGCCCCTGTCAATAAAAATTACCATTTTGCCCCTAGAGGCTAGAAATGATTAAATGAGCTTTAGAAAGTGTGTTCTGACTCTGAAACTTTGTATGACATAAATTGTCGCGTTAAACTCCTCGATATTAGACCGTGGGTCTGGGATATGTGTTCTTGTTATTTTATTCGGTTTTATCAGACTATTTTGGTTTATTATTCTAGTTTATTACTTTGATTTATGACTTTGATTATGATATTGGTTTTAATGATTTTCTTGTGTTGCACGCGTTTCCCAATCAGACGACTGAGGCGCTGATCGAGACATCGGCTAGGCTCACAGTGGATTGTGCATGGGGGTGTACGAGTCCCCTGAACTGTGAGTGGGTTGTCCTCAACGGAGAACCCGTTGAGGAAATGTTTTGTTACTGTTTTTATATAAATGATTTATAAAATGTTTTGATGAATGTTTTGGGTGCATGAATGACTCTTGGTTTTGATTATGACACAATTAGAAATCATACAGGGACTCGTGGACTGGACACAGTCCAGGGAGTATGTATGGCTTGGTATACTAGCTAGTATCCGTTGAGGAAATGTTTTGTTACTGTTTTTATATAAATGATTTATAAAATGTTTTGATGAATGTTTTGGGTGCATGAATGACTCTTGGTTTTGATTATGACACGATTAGAAATCATACAGGGACTCGTGGACTGGACACAGTCCAGGGAGTATGTATGGCTTGGTATACTAGCTAGTAGTTGGACTCATTTGGCGGACCATGGTTTGATTTGGATCCACATGGTTCGTCGCTCTAAGCGCGACACGCCCTATATATGTACCGGTTCGGCGTGTGCATGGGGGAGCTAAACTGGGTGTGCTGCGGCCACCACGCAGTACCGGACCCAGGCCAACGTCAGGGGGACGGGCTTGTTTGCGAAAATAAGAAAATCAAAATTTTTACTAGTATTATTTGATTATGACGAAAATGCCCCTGACGGTTTCGGAGGTTGATTCGGGCCAAGGTCACTTCGGATATGTTTTTATTGACAGCCCAGGTTTTATAAAATGATAAATGATTTTGTATAATCGTTTGATAGATGATATTGTTTTTTATAATTGTTGGTTTCCTAACTGTTTTGGTTGTGAGTGCACCCCACCCTCTCGGGTCCTCTTTTGAGGGTGACTCACTCACTGGGTAAATTCGTGTACTCACCCCTCAAATTCTTGTTGTTTCAGGGTAGTTAGGACTCACACATTCTTGGACGGTCGCGTCGGTGGCGTAGGCTGTTATCACTGCTCTTAGAGGTATTTCTCATTACCTGACGGGTCCCACTGACATTGTCTCTATTCATTGTCATTCCTCGTGTCTTGTTTCTTGATTACTAACTTACTATTTGGATTTGACTTGGTTTCTGATTTATCAGAATACTTTTATTATTTCGGTTTTTTAACGGTTCCGCTTTTACTCTGATTTATAAACTTGAGAATTTGAAATTTATTTTATATTCCCGTTTTTATTGTTTTGATCTGGTATCAACGCTTCGCGATACCTTGGATACGTGTAACGTGTGGCACGTAGTTCAAGGAGACACGGCGGTTGTTCACGCTCGACTTTCGGCTCGGGGCGTGACAGATAACCTCCCTGTAAAATATTGATAATCACATTATGAAAATTTGATAACTACACTATCAAATTGTGATAATTTCCTTATAAAATTTTGATAACCTCACTATGAAATTTTGATAAACCTCCCTGTAAAAATGTTTGCTAATCCCCGTTTGAAATTTTGATAATCTCCTCACGGAATTTCGATAACCACCTCATGAAATTTTAATAATTACCCTATGAATTTTTTATAACGTCCTCCTTACGAAATTCTGTTCATCTCCCTACAAAATTGTGAAAACCATACTATGAAATTTTGATAACTACAATATGAAATTACGATAACCTCCCTATGAAATTTTGTTAATCTTCCTATGTAATTTCGATAACCAGACTATCAAATTTTTTTTAACCACACTTAGAAATTTAGATTACCCCATAATGAAATTTTGATACCGCACAATGAAATTTTGATAACCTCCCTCTGAAATACCACACTATAAAATTTTGATAACCACACTATGAAATTTCGATAATCTCCCTATAAAAATCGATAACCTCTTTATGAAATTTTGTTAACCTCTCTATGAAATTTTGGTAATCTCCCATGAAATTTTGGTAACCTCCCTTATGAAATTTTGGTTTCCGTACTTGAAATTTTGATAACCTCATACGATCCTCATTATGGAATTTTGATAATCACACTATGAAATTTTGATAATCACACTATGAAATTTTGATAACCACATCGAGACAACAAAATCAAAAGAAAAGAATCACTAACAAGTACTCCCTCCCATTCAAAATAGGTGAAACACTAGGAATATTACACAGACCAAGACAATGATTAGTTGGTTTTAAATTTAGTAAAAACTTACTTAAAATGACATAATTACCCTTCAAAGATTTTTATAAACAATTAATTAATAAATCTTCTTTCCCTTCCCAACTTTCCAAGACCACTTAAAAGTTCAACCACTTTAATTAACACTTAGGGGTATATATGGAAAAATAGTAAAATTGCATTGGTTTTGTAATTGGTTTCACTTATTTTGAAAGGCTGCAAAAATTGAAATGTTTCACTTATTTTGAATGGGAAGGAATAATTGGTTGTGGTAAGCGGCCTCTACCCCGACAAGGGTGAGAATACAAGTTCGATTCCCTGGAAGTGCATTTGTTGGGAGGGCCTTAACCTTCACGTTCCCTGTCCAAAAGAAATTAGTCTCATGGCCAAAGAGCTTGGAGATACCTTGGTAAAAAAAATAGTTGGACAGTATGAATTACCTTTATAATCCTTTGAATAATCCGGTACAAAAAAAATTCTTCAAAACATCTATGAATAAAGCATACCTATGTAAGTCTTTATTATCTTGAAAAAATTTCTCGAGCTGAAAGACTAAAAACAGAATAAATAGAGACGAGAGAACGAGAGTCACGAGGAAGTTAAAGACTAGAACAGAAATGATATGTATATGTTGGAACACTTGCGAGTGATTGAAGAGGTTGTCAATTATGAGAAGTGGGAACATAGATAAGATATTATTAAAGGCAATAGATGATCCTTTTAGATTGTTTGGTTTCAGTTCTTTTTTTCAGTAGAGAAGGAGAAGCTCTGAAATAAGTCGGGCCAAACAAGCATCATTAGAGCAAAATAATATCACAATACTAGACTAATAAGGATTCCTCATGCACTCGAACTTAGCCAATGATAACAAAATCATGAAGATGTTCACTGAAATCTGATGTTGCATTAACTGACTTTGCAAACACCAATTTTACATTGTATTTTCCAGATGATCAGATCAATGGTCAAATTCCGAACACAAAAATGTAGTACAAAAACATTAAGGTGTGATGTTGACTCGTTGGAGAAACAAAAGCAAGCAGGCCTTGAATCCTTAAAGAACTTCTAGTACTTGATTTTCCACAAGGAAGAGGAATGTGATCTTTCAACTGCATATCTTAATTCAGATGAGACAATCCCGGTGAGTTTATGATTGAAATACTTAGACCTGAGCAAAGACAGCAATCCCGAATGCCTCGACTGTTTTCTCTTCAATACCTCAATATAAGCATGATATCCAAGCCATACAACTTCTTCCTTCATCAGTTTAAGAACTGGAAACTTGCCTGGACCGATACGAGTAGAACACATCCTTTTCTTTATCAGCCGGTACATGTACCTGAAATAAAACATTATAAATGGCGGAAAATGGAGTCAAGGAAGAAAATGTGGTAGTTAACTCTTAATAACGGCCAAAAAAAAACTCTTAATAACCAAATTCTAAGGACTTCATAACTGATTCAAATTCACAATAGGGTAGAAAGTAGTTATCTTCCGAAGCCTACTAATTTAGGGCATCTAATATTCAGCATAGGAATAAAAATCATTTGGAGCTGAATAGTCTGTGCACAAGCCTATTGCAAGATACCAAAGATCTGAATCCATACCTCAAGGATTTTTCAATCATTTTCAAACAGTATCTTCGACGAGGTTTGAAGATATATGACATTTCAGAGACATGACAATGGAACTTCATTGCACACAAGAGAAAAGCTTGATAGACATTCAATCTGACGACAGATGCAGAATTGATATTTGAATCGAAGAACAAAGGATGGCACCTAGGTTTCATGAAGTTATACAGCTTCCATCTTAGACGATTACCCGGTTTACCTTGCCAGTGGATAGTAAGAGTGGAACTTAAGTGGTTAGCCAGATACCTGTTAACAAAACAGAACCAACTCATTCAGGAAACTGCAAATGGATTCCAAATTAAAACTGCATCCAATAAAAAAATAAAGAAAAAATGACAGCATAACTGTAAAAGCTTATTTTTCCTGCTTCTCTTGTAGTTAATTAGAACACTGATCAAGGAATAAGAACGAACAGAGTTTTTGTGATCTATCACGTCAAAAGTGGTTTGTTTTGCTGAATACATATATCAGCATTATTTGGATGTCAAATTATAGCATATATGCATTTTTTATGTTCTATGATGATTTCAATTGTAAAAATTGCATATACTGAAACAACCTATGGTCATGGAACTATGGCATATAAAGCAGTGAATCTGAATCTTTTTATAAATATAAGTGTTAATTACTAATTTTGACAAAGCAATCAAATAGGAAGCTTCCATAAGATCATAAAGAAGCCAATAATCATTAATTACACCTGTAATAAAACCATAGAAGAAACTGACCTTGTATAATCACCCTGAATTTCCAAAGTGTTACAGTTTATAAGCAAACCACTCCATCGAAGAAATGAGGTACGATTATCAACCACATAAACCCGGTTCGATAACAGACCAGATTGACATTCAATGTCAAAATTAAAACAGAATTTTTCCTCATTCATGTAGCAGTTGTAATCTGGAAACCCTTGAAGCATCATGGACAAGAAACCACTGGCCTGCTCTTTCGAAGTTGATATGAAAAGAAAATCATCAATGAATCGTACAAGCAAATAAGTTGGGGGAAAGACAAAGGCATGTGAGGAATGCTCATCCACTGAGGAATCAGAAAGAATACGCAGTCTGTCTATATCTTTGGCAGCATCTTCAGTAGTTTTCTCAAGATATGGAGAGATCACATGCTTTTCCATGTGCCCATAATATAATGAGCAGAGCAAAGTGGATAGCACACTTCCTTGAGGTATCCCCATTCCTTGCAAGTAAAACTTCTTATCCAATAGAAGCACGTTGCGCTTTACATGCTCATATAGGTTAGAAAACAGCTCTTCCCTTAAAATTATTCTGCTGCTACCCTAAAAACAGCAATTGAAGGAGAAGATAGATTTAAAAATAGCTGATAATAACAATCAAATATTAAACACGAAACCTCAAAAATGGACAGACGATAGCATAAATTGTCCCTATTTTCAATTAACTAAGACCTAATCCAGAAGAAAACAATAGAAGATTCAACAGCAACAAGATCTGAATGTTCCATGAAAGAACAATTAGAAACAATACCTGATTAACAAAAACACCAGGCAATGACCGAAACGGGACAGAAGACATTAAGTTTGCAAAACCAGTATTAACTGTCTCATCCACCAACGTGAGATTCTCGCGATCCCACAAACATTTGTTTGAACAGACAACTTGATTAATCTGGTCTAGACTATATTCATCTTTTGTAACAACATCTTCCATTATACCAAGTAGCTTATCCTGATAGATAGAATCAAATGCCTTTGAAACATCAGCAACTACAACAAATACACTAGGCATAGTTTTAAGTCCACTCTTTAGAGTGATTAGAAACACAGATAACTTTCTATAGACATCATTATAGTCAAACACTGAGGACCCATACTTCTCTGGTTCTTTCAACAGTATACCTTTAAGAACTGCATGTGTACCACGAAGAACAGAGTTCACAGACTTAAAACGATTGTATTTTTTCCTAGAACATGCTCTTGAACTTTTCTGCATCCAAGGACACTTATGTTTCGAGGAGAATCTTCCTGGCAATCTTGAGGACGCTTTAAGATTTGCCAGCTTTCTAACTCCATTCTGTTTTGGGCAAAGCCTCAGCCTTGAAAACCCAAATTGTCTTTTGTCTATTATAGCTCTAACAGCAGCCTCATCAAGTTCAAGATAGCTCTGATCTTTCAAGCCAGTAATGGAATGGTCTGTCAACTTCTCCCAAACTGGCTTGCGATAATAAAAAACATCTAGCTTGCCATGCTCGCTTTCAGTGACATAGAAATTGGCTTGCACCAATGGCACCACAAAAGATGAAAAGAACCAGAAAATCCAGTTAACTAAAAGCTTATGTTTAACACCACGCAAGCTCCAACTTGCTTCCCCGGACTTCTGCCCCGTGCCATTCTTTGGCACCTGACCATTCAAGCAGCATGACGTATGGTTATGTGACAAAAAGGGAAAATCTGCCCATTTTAACTTGTGCATGTATTGCTTCATAGAGAACTTCTCAAACTTCCGCAACCGAATAAATTTGGAAATATTTCTCCTTAGTATTCTCATGTTAGAAGGAGTTCCTAGCAATTCTGGAGGAATTATACTTCTACAGACAGCCCATATAAAACCCACTACCTGGCTGTGTAAGCAATAAGACCCGTTTGATTCAAGCTTTTTATTATCAGCTTCCAGAATGTTGTTGTTCCCTTTGGCACCAACTCCATAAAATTGCTCGAGCACTCTTACATTGCTCTGAAATAGAAAAATACGTAGTTACTTTTTACAAGCATGTTGCATACACTTTTTAATTTATACCTAGAAAAAACGAAATGAAATTTTGTACTACAATAGACACCATATGTTGGTAAATTCATATAATAAAAATACTATCACTAACATCAAATCTAGATATTCACCCAATCATCTAACATAGCACCTTCACAGGTAAGGCTTGCAAACCGAAAAGAATACATCAAGTATTTCAGATGATGGCTCTTGCAGTTTAAAGCGCCTTATATGGGTTTCACAAACAATACTAACCTCAGCTACTGAGATTGAATTTCCCATTACCTTTTGATCTAGAGATGGTAGAGGACAATACTTCTCCAACAATTTTGAGGGCTTGAAACGTCTGCTTCTGCGTATGAGCTTCTTCAGCAACTTAAGAAACGAGTGATACCTGGTGAACCAAAAACACAAAAACCATACTATAAAATAGCTTTATTGGATGATTTATGGTCTAAATATAATTTTTAAGTTAACTACATAAATTCCTATAGCTTCAATATTTAAGATTAAACATCACAAAATAAATAATGACAATTATTTTCTTCATAGCATTTTTTGATCTAATTGACACTGGCCACACTAATTTGAATGCAAACGATAAGAGTTCAACATCCTCAGTGCTTTGGCAGCAATCCTTTTACCATACCCCTTTCTGCAGTGTTCATACGCCAGGTCAAGAGATCCATTAGTGTATATAAATGGAACAATTTCTAGCATTGTTGATAAATTTTGTTGCCAACATGCCTACAACATAGGTTTGCACAATGTGAATACATGTTCCAAAGCATGCTAAGACAAAATAATGGGATCACAGAGCCAAGAAATAATCTACTTTAGCAAGCACCAAAAGAAAAAGATGATTTTTCCGGTCACTCCCTAACCAACAAAATTAATAGAACACTGCAAAGTTAGAAATATTGTGATATGCAACTTACAGGCAAGAGGATCGAAAGAGACAAAAGTCACTGTCATGGGCGCATGGCGTAGATTGACCACTTACATTTGCATCAGATAAACCAAAGATATTCTCCATGAGACACTTGGAGCTTTTAAAATTTGGAATGAAGTCATTTAGTACATCTTTAGATTATTAAGGTGACACAAATTCCTTTGAGCCAAAGAGAGAAAACGCTCACCTAGTAACATTACAAAAAGAAAGCCACAGCTGTATGAGAATGGATGCCTTACGGAAAATTAAAAGGAAAATGGAAAAATATGCACAGCCTATAATCATATACTAAAGGATACGCTCTCTTGGAAGAACAGATGAGGAACTTTCCAAATTATAAAACATAGATTGCCTGTTAATCTCATTCAAATAGGAGACTGACTGGGGAGCTTTTAGCATCAAATAACAAGAACAGTGCACCGGCATCTGCATAACAAAATAAAAGAAAATTTGAAGGCTTTTTCAAAAAAAAAAATGAAAGAAAGAAAATTTGAAGGCAATGACAAGACATCACAAATTTTCAGGTTTGTGTCTAAGATTTTAACTTCTCATGCACTAGGATCAGCACAAGAACTAAAAGACATGAAACAGAAATGGCAAGTTAACTTTCGCCGTGTGCTTAAACTGCTCTGCAGTTTCCTTACATGCCACAGAAGATATTTCACAAGTTTTAATGTGTCTTGTATCTTGGTGCTGGAGAGCATTAATACTTTTTTAAAGCAAGTAAAGAAAGAAAATTCAGAAATTCTTGATCTACAACAACTGCTAAAAACTTGTTATTAATTCTGGTAGTATATAAACTATTGCCCAAAACTACTAAGATATATTTCACATAAGAGATATTAGCAGTAATGAATCTCTCTCTTACAAACATAATATACACTGCACAGCAGGATGTTACTTTAGAAATAAAAATATGCTTGCATTTATCAACCCATTTAGCTGGAAAAATACAGGTCTTGGTTAATAGAACAAGCAACCGTAAAGAAAATGACCTGATTTGTGTTGACAGGGCACTTGAGACCCCCAGGTAAGCAATTTGCATCAGAAGAAACAGTTTGGAGGATGGTCTCTTCTCTGTTTTCTGGAGTGTTTAGTAGTCTGCGCTTCTTGTTGCGTTTCCAATGAAATAGTCTAAACTTCTTATGCTTTGCTGCAGTTGGACTTGAGCAAATTTTAAGTTCTCCACTTGAACCTTCATCAGACTTGGCAACAGCTTCTCCAGTTTGTGAATTCGCACAATCAACTGAGTTTGAGGAAATGTCACAAACGGGAGGAGGAATATATTGCTGCCTCTTTGATACTGAATTGCTATTTTCAGTTAGTTTCCTTTTCTTTACAATTCCTGAGAAAACTTTCAAGCATAAGGGCCATTGTCACCATGTTCAATCAAAATTTTGCAAGTGAGCAAACATGAACAGGCAATGAGGTAATAATCAATTAAATCTACAAACCCTCAGATTAATTGCAAAGCTTAAACGCAAAAATGGAAGGGTCAAAAAGGAGCATGCAAAGATGGAGAAACATAAAAGAAGCTAATTGAAAAAGGAAACGATTGATCAAATTCTATTGAGTCTGACTGAAAGTTATCATTTACCAAAGACTGACTGACTCTGGTTATTAAATGATTCAACAACCAGAACCAACTGACAAATCAATGTGTTGGCGAGAGAGAAATAGAAACATAAAAGATACCAACTGAAAGGCAAAAGGATTGATCAAATTCTATTGAGTCTGACTCATAGGGTCATTCACCAAAGAAACTCTTGTTATCAAATCATTCAACAATCAGAATGAACTGGCAAATTGTCAGCTAAATATCATGGTTCCATGATGTCCCTATTAAATAATTTAGACAGCAATAGGAGGAAGTGACTGTTTCCATCTCCAGTGGCCTACATGTTATGATATAAAAAGGTGGAACCAGGATTTTTCCAGAAAAAGCTACAAGTCATATAATCAACAAACAGCTAAAAGCACTCAGAAACCTGAAAATATTCAAGCACATTCCCAGGAGATAGGACATCATTACCAACCTGCTGAAATAAAGTCATCTTTGATCATATTATACAAGTTCCTTGCATGATGACGAACTTTCATCATAACTTCATTTTATTTATAGCAACTAAAACTTGAAGTAGTGCACTATGTACGTGTTTAAGAGTATTTTATCAAGCCTAATTGCTCCAAAAATGTTGAAGAATAACATCAAAGTGCACACTCTAAAATTTGTAAAAGATTTATATTAAAGCAATTATTTTTCTTTCCACCAAATAGCAATGTTTATCTAGCATAGCAGGTCGCATTCACCTTGCTTTTTAATAAAGTGGAACATTCAAAGCTCATCCTTCTAGTTGTATACATGTTTTGATTACATTTCTGATTAAAAGTACACCATCTTCCCATTAAGCACCAACTTGTTTCCAGCTTAGCAGGAGACACTAACATTTTGGTTTAATAAATTAGACGATGTTAATGTGTTTCTGAATCTCATAATATCGCTCTGATTGGGAAAATCAACTGACCCAAATGATAGGTGGGCCAAGGACAACTTGCCATCAGATATGTTTTAACAATGGAAACCTATGAAGCTTTGCAGAGTCAAATAAAAGCAGAGATTAATGTTGTAAACAAAAGTCAATAAAACCATGGATTTATATGCATCTATATGCTCAAACACACAAATTTAGAGTCTTATATACCAGATTGTGGTTTTATTTCATTTTTCGACAGCTTCTTGCATAGATTATTGATAGGAGAACCGGCAACTTGAAGGTGTTTCTTGTCAGAAAGGGGCAGAAATATTGATGTATGCCGAAGTAGATAAACCATGCACCCATCCCCGACCTGTCATATTCAGTAATTATAAAGCTTGCAAAACATCATCATACCAGGAACAGAACTACTTGAACACATAATAACAATTTCTAAACCTCGACATACCCTTTCAAGGAAAATATCCCATGCTTGAGATGTCAAGACCTCTACATTCATGCTCAATCGTTTTAGCTGCAATGTTAAGTCAAAGTTTGCCACAAATGATTATAGAGGGAATAAATTAAAAAGAAAACCTAAAGCAAAACATTTCAAGAAGCATATGCAAAATCTATAGTAGTATGCTCCAATAAAGAAATCACATACTGATTGCTTATTCTTCTATATTCCTTTTGGCCATGATAAAAAGCAAAAATCACATACTGATTAGCAACACTACAACAAGTTAAGGTAACGAGAGATAACAATGCAAACTAACACATGATAAGGAACACTGCAATTATAAGTTTCATGGCGGAACAGTGCAAACTAACACATGATAAGGAACACTGCAAATACAACTTTCATGGCAAACAAATCACTTAAATATTGTTAACTTATTCCTATCTCCTCAACTTGAATACAAGCACCTGTATAATGCCCATGATATTTCATTAAGAAAGTGGTTAGACTGAAAATTGAAGCAATGAAAGATACATTACTTTGTTACTATAGTCATTACTCCTCAAATGAGAGTGTTCCATAAATGATAAAGGGATTGCAAACTTAAAATTTTTGGACCAATGTTGAACTGAATAAGGGAAATGGAGGGTTCCCTTGATTAATTATTGGAAAAAAAAAAAAGATCCAGAGAGAATGACGAAATGTGGAAGGAAAGGAATTGATCAATCAATATTGTAAATATTACCCTTAGTAGATAAAATAAAAATTTTATAGGGTATAATTTGCAAAACACAGATAAATCTTCAAAAGCGTAAAGACTCCCTCAATTCTGGAGTAATTCCAACCAAAACAACAAAGAAAAGACTTTGAAAAGGTGGGAAGGCAAGAGATTAAGATTCATCGATTGCCCCACTTTTCCCCCTCCATTTCCTTCTAACAATCCATCCAAACAAAAGAAGAAATAACTCCCATCTAAAAGACAAAACGTCAATCCAGCGAACAAACACCCAAAAAAAACAACTTTTTTACAGAATTTACAATAAAAAAAGAAGGAACTTGCCCTGTTATATCCAGCGCATAGCAAATTACTAGACTTGGGTCTTTGAGCTAACATCATCTCCACGACCTTTTGAACAATCTGAAATCAGAAAACCAAAACGAGCCCATTAAAACCCTTTAAAGGAGCTTCCTTTTTGGGTGAAAAGAAGAAACCCAAACCTGTTTTTGAGACCAATGTCGATCAGGATAGTACTCAAGAAAAGGAGCATTATCATCAACGACAACAAAGCAGTTATTGAGGAGCTTTTTGTAATGCAAAGGGTCATCAGGTCGAAGGAGAAAAGACATGGGATCTTCACAACATTGAAGACAAGAACGGCCATGGCAGCGGCAAGCAACCGAAAAAGGTTTCAGGGAAGGCGGCGGAAGGCGAGGGATTAGAGAAGTAATGGTGGTGGCTAAGCTTCTTGCTTTGTCTTTGTAGATTGTCCATAAAATCTTGGGTATCCTCCAATTCCCTTTCTTCTTCCTCCCCATTGTCTGTGGGAGGTTGAACCTAATCTAAAGAATATAAGGAAGAGAGTGTCAGTGGAATTATGGCTGTCTCTTATTCCGAGGCTGTGTGTTTTCAGCTTAACTGGATTGCAAAATCTTGTTTTCATTTTCCCGCGCTCTGCTTTTGTGTACTGGTCGTACGGTCACGGTCAAAGGGGTCAATTCCTTTACCCTTTTTAAGTTAGACAGAGTACTAATTGCTCAATTTTAATTAGCACTTCTAATCATATATCATATTAGTAACCGGGCACAAGCATGCGTATGCAAATCCAAAAAATTAAGAATTTGATATAAATGAAATGAAAAATTATAAAAAAGAATGTTAGATTTTACATTTCAAATATTAAGAATGTTTGATGGATAAGAGTAGTACAAATATATGACATACATTGGACATCTCCCATGGACATCTCCCATCCAATTTCTACCAAGCATGAATAAATATTTTGTCAGTATCAAAAATGTAGAACAATTGAGATGTTAGGACTAATGGAAAAACTAAACATGTTTATGGTTTTGTAATGTAATTATTTGTTAAATAATTATAATTGATATCTATCATGTATACCAATTATGTAGTACCCGTTTCTTATTCTCATCTTTTTAGCGTTTTTCTTTTCTTTTTTTTTGTGTGAAAATTCTTTTTTTTAGATACTTTTAGGGTTTAGGCGTGATTTCATAAAAAGAAAAAATTGTGGAGAAAAAAAACTTGGAAGCATGTCTCATTCAATTTCCCCCATTTCTAGCAAAAAAAAAATTCCCCCATGATTATGCAATTTTAATTATTCATTTCTTCTTTTTTTTAACATATATTATCCCTTTTGTGATACCCGTCCCTAGTTATTAAGTTTACTAGACTAAGATCATTTTTTACTAAGGAATTAATTGTTGTAATGGAAGTCAAATTGAAACAATATAAAAGTGATTAGCAATTTGAAAAGAATGGTTGAATTGAAGGAGATACAAATTAAAGGACATATATTCTAAAAAGATATTTTTGGGGTTTTCATGAAGAAATGAAATTAGTTATGGCTAATTGAATATGAGAATATTATTAAGAAAACAAGAAATTGGGAAATTATGAATTATGTGGATTAAATTATCAATATTAAATGATTGAAAGAAAAAGAAAGGAGGACTAAATTGAAAAGAGATTAATTATCAAGGGGTATGTTAACAATTACACCCAATTTTTTTTAAAAAAAAAGATTTCCATGACCACAAATTTTTAAAAAAGGATTTCAAAAAAAAGGATTTCATGAGAATTTTCTAGGCTTTTCTTCATCTTCTCCAAACTCTTCCTCCTCTTACTTGCATATCTTGATTTCTTCATCCACCAACCATCAAAGCTTATGATCTTATACTCAAATTAAAGCTTGTTCTAAGTCCTATCAAAGCCCCATAACAATCATATCATCTAGCGTCAAGGATTTCCTAAGGATGGACTTGAAGGAGCTAAGGTGATTGGTGGGAAAACTTTGAAGTTCAACCATCTTTGAGTAAGTGATTATCCTTTCTTGAAGTTAAGCTAGTTTTCATTGTTTAAGGCAATTTCTTAAGTTTAAATCCATGATGAGTTATTTAGGATGCTTAGTTTGTGATGAGCATCATGTTGATTATTGGGTTGAGAAGTTTGAATTAGTGTAAACAAGAATTTGGTATTAGGAATTGTGATATAAGGGCTTCGGTTTTGGGGTTGTTTGAGGTAATAAATGATATTGGAAAATTATGAAAATTAACAGTCTTGTAGTTTGTTGTATGTGGAACAAACTTCAGTTAGAAAGTTTTTGCTAATACCGTTTGGATTCTGAATTATAAGGCTCGGAATACTGTATCGCAAAATTGAGGTTCAAATTTGGAAATCTGACTTGGTGGTTGAATTCGAAATGGTTTTAGCTCGAATTTGAAGTGGCTTTCTAAATATCATTTTTAGCCTAATGAGTTAGCTTTCTAGTGGTTTTGGAATCATTTGATTTTGATGTGTATTGTGAAAGTTATGCCTATTTTCCCAAAGTGTCGCCTTGCTGGAAATGAAAAACAGGGGAGTGTAGATTCATTTCGGGTAGCCTTCTTTCGAGGGGCATAACTTTGTCTTAGAGAATCCAAATTGAGTCATTCTTGAGCCTAAATCGAAGGGTTTGGAGTCCTCTATGACTTTGTAGAAGAAAGCAAGTTGAAATTCTAAAGGGAAATTAGTGAAAAATAGCCATTTTTGGGACTGCATGGTTGATTCTTGTTACAGCATGCCATTGAAAATGTTTGGGAATCAACTTGACATTTGAATAGGTTAGGAGCCGAATTCGATAAGGGTCCTCTAGGGGTGAATTTAAGTATATGGAACCATATTTCTAATGGATATGGTTTCATTTGATTTATTTGAGAATCGAGCTACATATGAGTATTTTTGTAAAGTGTCGCCACGTTAGATTTTTGGTTGAAAATAGAGTTAGTTTAAAACTTTAATATTACTAAGATTTCCTTTTAATTCATGATCCCGAATCCAACCTAACCGGATTAAGGACTACGGCTCGTAAGTAATATCATCGTATTTTAAGAACATTTGAATTACCAAAATACCCGTGATGGACAAATTTACTATATTACCCCTGATTGATAAAATTACGATTTTGCCCCTATAATGAGGAAATTACCATTTTTACCCTAGAATTGGTACAATTACGACTTTGCCCCTAGAAGAGGATTTGACTTATCCAATAATACTAATTGAACATGTAAGGTTAGAGAATCACCGTAACAGCCTTAAGATGTCAAAATCACAAATTTGCCCCTGATCGAGTAAAATTACAGTTTTGCCCCTAGATGCCGGTTTTGAATAGATAAGCTGTGGAAGTATTTGCGGACCTTGAAACTCGTATTAGAACCCTGTAAGACATGTAGAGACACGTTTAACTCCTCAATATTAGACTGTGGGTCTGGGTTCCATACTTTTTGTCATTTTATTCCTTTGTATCTAACTGATTTGGTATTTTCGATTATTATCTTGGTTTTATATTGGTATATTATCCTGGTTTAGACTGACAAACTTGGCTTTATTTCGGTTTATGAATTTAATCTCTGAGATTGGTTTTAACGGTTTTCTTGTGTTTGGTGTACTTCTCAATCAGACGGCCGAGGCGCTGATCGAGACACTAGTTAGGCTCACTGCGGATTCACCTTGGGGGGTATATGAGTCCCCTAAGCTGTGAGTGGGCTATCCTCAACGGAGAACCCGTTGAGGAAATATTTTATTACTGTTTTTACATGAATGATTTATAAAATGTTTTGATAAATGTTTTGGGTGCATGAATGACCTGGTTTTGTTTAAAAAGAACTTGCTCAAGCATACGGGGACTTATGGACGTAGCTCCAGGAGTACGTATGGCTTGTTGGTGGAGCGTCTCTGACGCGACCCGGCGCTGGTGTGTTTGTTTTAACGGACCATGACTTTATTTTGGATACACATGGTTCGTAGCTCCAGGCCCGACACGATATATTTATTCATCTACCGGTTCGACGTGTGCATGGGAGAGCTAAATTGGGTGTGATGCGGCCACCATGCAGTACCAGACCCAAGCTAACGTCAGGGGAACGTACTTGTTTGGACAAAAAGAGAAAAATTATGTTTTTTTTAGTAATTATTTAATGATGACGAAAATGCCCCTGACGGTTCCAGAGGTTGACTCGGGCCAAGGTCACTCTGGATAGGTTTTATTGGCAAACCATTTGTTTTATGTGAATGATAAATGATTTCTAGGACTTGTTTTATTGCTAACCAAGATTTTATAACTTGGTTTTCTTACCTGTTTTGGTTGTGAGTGCACCACACCCTCTTCTGGTCCTCTTTTGAGGGTGACTTACTCACTGGGTACATTTGTGTACTAACCCCCTCAAATTCTTGTTGTGTTTTCAGGGTAGTTAGGACTCAGTGGATTCTTGGACGGTCGAGTCGGTGGCGTAGGCTGTTATCACTGCTCATAGAGATACTTCTCACTACATGACGGGTCCCACTGGCATTGTGTCTATTCATTCTCATTCTTCGTGCCTTGTTTCATGTTTACTAAACCACTAATTGGATTTGACTTGGTTTCTGATTTATTAAAATACTTTTATCATTTCGGTTTTGACGATTCCGCATCTACTCTGATTTGAAAGATTCAGTATTTTAAATTTATACTCAATTGATGTTTTCCATGTTTTTGATCTGGTATTGACGCTTCGTGTTGCTTTGGAGTGCGTGACCGGCCGGCACGTGTTTCAAGGTGACACGGCGGTTGTCCGTGTTCGACTTCCGGGTCGGGGCGTGACAACTTTGTTGGTATCAGAGCATCTGCTTTTTATTGTTGTTTCGTAAGTCCTGTGGGCTTGTAGTGAGTTTAGGATAAGTTTCGGACACATAGGTGCCCATCTGCCTTTTCAGTTTTGTTTTTAAAAAAAAACTAAAAAGTTCAGCTTACGTTGTTTGTGATAAAGAATTTAAATCTGTTAAAATGATTTTGTCTTTGATCCTAAATTCTGAGTCTCTTCCGTTTATGTTTCCTTAAATTCTAAACTCATTGTTTTTCTTAGAGATCCATGCCACCAGAACGTTATCTTTGTCGACGAGAACATCCTCATCATGTTCGATCTCATTAAGAGATCAGATGCAGGAATGTGAATTCTCGGACTATTTATCGTCTACACAATTGCTGATATAAGAATACTCACAACTTGTTGTTTACACCTGTATCTTTTCCACGTATCCACTTTTGTACGACTCGACAACAACTTTTCCTTCGATGCCGTTTTCCCAAACGACTATGCAAGTCACTGATAGAGGTGTTGACAAAACGAACTGTGAGAAAACGGAGCTGACTTTGGGACGAAAGTCAAACTCGATGTATGTTAGAAAGTGTAGCAAAGATTCTAATTTGTTCCCTTAAGACGGAAAGTGAACCTTTAAGATGAGTTCACAAATTGTGTAGTAAAATGTGATCCCAATCCAC